AGGTATGGTCGTGACTGTCCGGTGTGCGGTGAGGCACCAAAGGACCTGGTCCATCTGGTCGTCTGGTGTCCTGTCGTGAGTCGGTTCTGGACCCGGCTGCTGGATCTTCTCGCTCGGAGGCTGGCGTTGAGACTCCCACTGCCGGCGGCCCGTGACGTTGATGACCCCGAGCCCTGGATCTGCCTCTTCGGGCCTGTCCAGCGGCCACTCCAGGGGCCGGACACCGCCGTCGTCAATTGGGACGCTGTCCGGCTCGTCCTGTCTTTTGCCAGGTACTCTATCTATGTGGCAAGAAACCACCACCTGCACGAAGGCCGCGCAGTGGAGCATTGGCCTCTGTTCCAGAGGCTCCTGGCCGCTCATGCCTGACACCTGCACGCTATGAAAGAGCAACTCTTCAAGGACACTTTCACCCCGGACAATTCTCTTTTTTCAGTATCTTGAAAGTGAGTTCCCCTCACTTAGACTTTTGACCTCCGCTGCTCCATCTGGACTATCTCTGGATTCCCCATTACCTTTCCCCTTTTTGCCCAAGTCATTCCTGTTGGACCCCCTCACCCACCTGTTGTCCTCCGGACCTCCGGTTGGACTCCTCCACTGCACCTCCTTACCTGATCCTCCCACTGACCCTCACATGTACCCCAATCTTTTCATTCTGAATTTGGTGTTTTGTGTTGTATGTTTGTGTTTGGTTGTGTGCGTTTCCGTCAGGAAGGTATGTCCTGTTTTACCTGTACTTGTCTGTCTTGTCCACCCCACCGCAGTCCCACAGCCCTTGTAGCCAGCTATGTCTGTTTCCCATGTCAACATCCCCGTGTGTCTTCTGTGAATATTTGTGAATATATTGTTGCTTAAAATGTTTTTGTATTTTTGATAATAAAAGATTTTAAAAAAATGTGCGCCCGATCTCGTCTGATCTCGGAAGCTAAGCAGGTTTGGGCCTGGTCAGTACCGCCTGGGAATACAAGGTGCTGTAAGCTTTTCTTTTGGAATTTAATTCAACTTTAAGTCTCCCCTTAATTTGCTTTGGATCATCACTTTCTTATTGATAAAAACCAAGTGATGAGCAGTCCATAGCTTAGGGTCCAGCATTTCATTTTGGAGCCAGCAGCCCATTTAGCCAGTGTTTACTCGGTTTTAAATAAGGCCTCGGCCAGGCAGCCTACAGCTTACTGCCACACCAGCCTGAAAATATGAATAACATATTTTAATTTAAAGTAAAAGTTAAATCATAACATATCCTAACATTACATTTTATTGTCCTATTTAGTCAGAGCCTGATTTTCTTTGCAACAAATTAGTTTATTTTTGGGGTTAAGTTCTGTATTGTGGAGATTCTCAGGATGGATTGCAGGTATACATCAGTGAGGCAACTGCTGTGTGACGTTTTGGTAATTTTCCTTACGGAAAACAGCTGCTCGCACAGATATGTGCTACCATCTGGACAATCGACATCGCACACTTTCATCATACAATTCTTCACAAATTCCCACCGTAAGTGGCCGTCTTGATTTTGCAATTTCTTCGGCCATATCAAAACTTCACAGCAGCTTCTCTTTGATTTTGCTTCGGTGAAAAATGTCTGCTGGGATGTCAGATTCTTCTTCACCTCCTCTACCTTTTGTGGCTTCTGTCCTGCCCTCAGGTTTTTAAACTTGTTCTGATGTTTTGTTTTTTAGTGCCGTCTTAGTTGTACTCCATTACAGTTCAATTAAATTAAATTTCAATGCAGTTAAATTTTATTTATATAGTACAAAAAAAAAAAAAAAATCCCTCTCCCTGGGCTGCCACCTTATCGTGGTGGAGGGGTTTGAGTGTCCCAGTGATCCTAGGAGCTATGTTGTCCGGGGCTTCAAGCCCCTGGTAGGGTCACCCAAGGCAAACAGGTCCTAGGTGAGGGATCAGACGAAGCGCAGCCAGAAGACCCTTATGAAGAGAGACAAAAATGGACTTCGTGTACCCTCGCCCGGGCGCGGGCTACCGGGGCCCCCCCCTGGAGCAGGGCCCAGGGGCGGGGCACCATGGCGAGCGCCTGGTGGCCGGGCCTTAACCCATGGGGCCCGGCCGGGCCCAGCCCGAAGAGGAGACATGGGTCCCCCTTCGCACGGGCCCACCACCCGTGGGAGAGACCATAGGGGTCGGGTGCGCTGTGCCCAGGGCGGCGGCCGGAGTCGGGGATCTTGGCGGACTGATCCCCGGCTGCAGAAGCTGGCTCTAGGGACGTGGAACGTCACCTCTCTGGCGGGGAAGGAGCCTGAGCTGGTGTGCGAGGCGGAGAGATTCCGGCTGGACATCGTCGGTCTCGCCTCGACACACAGCTCTGGCTCTGGAACCAGCCTTCTTGAGAGGGGTTGGACGCTTTGCTACTCTGGAGTTGCCCCCGGTGAGAGGCGCCGAGCAGGAGTGGGCATACTCATTGCCCCCCATCTCGGTGCCTGTACGTTGGGGTTTACCCCAGTGAGCGAGAGGGTAGCATCCCTTCGCCTGCGGGTGGGGGGACGGGTCCTGACTGTCGTTTGTGCCTATGCGCCTAGCGGCAGCACAGAGTACCCACCCTTTTTGGAGTCCTTAGAGGGGGTACTGGAGGGTGCCCCCCCTGGGGACTCCCTCGTTTTGCTGGGGGACTTCAACGCTCACGTGGGCAACGACAGTGGGACCTGGAGGGGCGTGGTTGGGAGGAATTGTCCCCCCAGCTTGAACCCGAGCGGTGTTCTGTTTTTGGACTTCTGTGCTCGGCACGGATTGTCCATAACGAACACCATGTTCAAACATAAGAGTGTCCATATGTGCACCTGGCACCAGGACACTCTAGGCCGCAGTTCAATGATCGACTTCGTTGTCGTTTCAGCTGATCTGCGGCCGCATGTTTTGGACACTCGGGTCAAGAGGGGGGCGGAGCTTTCCACCGACCACTACCTGGTGGTGAGTTGGCTCCGATGGCGGGGGAGGATGCCGGTGAGACCCGGGAGGCCCAAACGTGTTGTGAGGGTCTGCTGGGAGCGCCTGGCGGAGTCCCCTGTTAGGCGGAGCTTTAACTCCCACCTCCGGGAGAGCTTCGAACACGTTCCGGGGGAGGCGGGGGACATTGAGTCCGAGTGGGCCGTGTTCCGCGCCTCCATCAATGACGCGGCCTCCCAGAGCTGCGTTCGCAGGGCTGTCGGTGCCTGTCGTGGCGGCAACCCTCGAACCCGCTGGTGGACACCGGCGGTGAGCGATGCCGTCAGGCTGAAGAAGGAGTCCTATCGGGCCTTTTTGGCCTGTGGGACTCAGGAGGCAGCCGATGGGTACCGGCAGTCCAAGCGACATGCGGCTCGGGTGGTCGCCGAGGCAAAAACCCGGGCGTGGGAGGAGTTTGGGGAGGCCATGGAAAAAGACTTCCGTACGGCCTCGAGGCGATTCTGGTCCACCATCCGGCGTCTCAGGGGGGGGAAGCAGTGCCCCACCAACACTGTTTACAGTGGGGATGGGGTGCTGTTGACCTCAACTCGTGACGTTGTGGGTCGGTGGGCGGAGTACTTCGAGGACCTCCTCAATCCCACTGGCGCGTCCTCCGTTGGAGGGGCAGAGCCTGGGGATCCGGAGGTGGGATCTCAAATCTCCGGGGCTGAAGTCACCGAGGCAGTCAAAAAGCTCCGCGGTGGCAGGGCCCCGGGGGTGGATGAGATTCGGCCGGAGTTCCTAAAGGCTTTGGATGTTGTGGGGCTGCGTTGGCTAACGTGACTCTGCAACATCGCGTGGACATCAGGGGCAGTCCCGCTGGATTGGCAGACTGGGGTGGTGGTCCCCCTATTTAAAAAGGGGGACCGAAGGGTGTGTTCCAACTATAGGGGGATCACACTCTTAAGCCTCCCTGGGAAGGTCTATTCAGCGGTTCTGGAGAGGAGGGTCCGTCGGATAGTCGAGCCTCGGATCGAGGAGGAGCAGGGTGGTTTTCGTCCTGGCCGTGGAACGCTGGACCAGCTCTATAC